AGATTTGTAATCCTTATCCTAGCACGACTATCCTAAATCCAGTTTATATACACCAAATTTATCTCAAGGATGAATTAATTCACAATTTACTACATCTCAAATTCTAAGAGTTTATGGAGACATAGAAATGAAAAAAAAGTAAAGACAAGTTTGGTATTGATATTTATTGAAGCCAATTATTTAATTTCTAGGTTCAACTTCGAATATAATTTATTATTTTTCTCTAATATACCATATTTATCTATATATAAGCTATACTATATATAAACATGAGAATAGAGAGAATAATGAAATTTTTTATAATGTCTTTTGGGAAATTTAAAATATTTTTAAATAAATTTATTTGCAACCAATAAAAAAATTTAATCTTAAAAAAAATTTATAATATTTAATTATAATTTTAAATATCTTGAGGAAGGAGATAAGAATAAGGAAAAAATATCAATAAATATATAATATTGATTGTAATTTCAAAAATTTTGATTATAACTATTTATATTTTTTTTTATCATTTTTTTACAATGATCAAATTTTTTTACAAATTTACTTTTAAATATACAACTACACATAATTAAGCCCTTTAAAATCTTAATTTTTAATATATTTGAAAATCAATATTTTTTTAATTTCTATATTTTTTATTTTTCTACAATTTGGTTTATACAAAATTAATATTTTAAATTTTTTTCATTTGATTTGATGTATTTTAATAAAATTAATTTTTAAATAAATATGTGCAGATAATTAAGCATTTCAAAATTTTCATGATTGCTTTAAATTTTTTAAAATTTATTTTATTTAAATAAATATATATATGATAATAAGGGATTTAAAATTTTTTATATTATAATAAGAAAAAGTTTCTTATTATACGTTGAATTTTTGAAATAATTTTTTATTTTTATTTTCTTTCTCATAACTGAATCAATTTGTAACTACTATCAATTTAAATTAGTAAGAGATTTGTAACTTCCTTAAAATAAATAGATGGCCTCTTGGTGATTAAATATTTGTAATTTTTTGATATTTTTTGGTAAATTAGGAAAATAGTGTTTGGGAAATTAAGAAAAAATTAGAACTATATATTTCTATTTTGAATTATCTTTTAGGGTTTTAAAGATATATGCATGTGAATATGTTCATTTTTATAATGCACCAAGTAAGTAATACCGTCATTATAGTCAAAGTGATTACCACGAGCATTCTGATTCGTGTTATTTTTAAATAATTTAAATCACTTTTTCATTCCTTTTCTTTTGCTTAACAGTAAGAAATAATTTTTTATTTTTTATACTTTTCCATTATAAATACATATAGATATTGATTTAGAGTTGAAGGACAGAGGTTGAAGATTGAGTAATGACTTGATTTACTTTTTGAACACTTCTTAAGGTTTTAAGAATTTGCATGTATAAATTAAGGGTTGAAATTAAGGTTAGGAGTTGGTTGAACTTTATTTTAAGATCACTTCATTATATAAAATAGAATTAAATACATAGAATTAACATTACAAGAAGTTTTGAGTGAAAAGTGCAATGTAAATAAACATGATATTTATTTTAATATAAATAAAAATCTATGTTTTAATGTTATATATAAAAAAAATTAAAGCAATACAAAGACTAATAATTAAGTTATGCTTCATTATATAATAAATATGCAACGCACTTCATAAAAAGAGTAATAATTAGAAAATGCGTAAAACCACGATGCATTCTCCTCTTGGATGGTTTCTAGCCGCCACTCAAGTTACCGGCTGACAACCAAGCCCCGTTAGTGCTGCCTCCAGATCATAGCCGGCAACCAGGCTGCCTCTGGTGCTGCTGCTACCACAGATTATATGGCCGGAAAAATAGATTGTTGCATCTTGGATCTTTATTTTTATTTAATAAATATCAAATAAACAAACAGAAAACAAAACAAATGTCTATATATATATATATATATATAAATCAACTGACCCAGTGAGAGATGATAAGGAAAAAACAGCAACATGTTCGGCAGCCAACAAAAATAGTGTTCTAAATTAATTAAAAATAACATATAACTGTAGAATAAATCTAGAATATTTGTGCGACAGTATAAACATTAAATTTTTCAAAACAACATCAAATTTAGAGCACATAATTCAATGATTAACTCAATAATAAATATAAACATATTTACACCTAAACATGTTTGAAAGCAATTAAACTCGTTCCATTGATACATGAAATAGAACATAATGCATTATAGCTCAGATACCAATATTGGATTTTATATACACTTACATGAATATAAAAGGATGGATCGAATACCTACTCTTGGAAGGCAGCAAAAGCAATATCAGGAACACAGCCGGAGTTAAACCTCTTAGCCTCGTATCACTAGTCTACTGATAGTAAAAAAAAAAAAAAAAAAAAAAAAAAAAAAAAAAAAAAAAAAAAAAAAAATTTAGCCACAGTCTCAAAGCATTTGCTTTAACAATACATGAAGAGAGAGCTGGAGAGTTTTTAGTGTTCTGTAGTATTGCAGGGAACATGTTCTCTTCAATTATGCATTACTCGAATTACTTCTAGTTAGCGTAATCCTACTACCACTCTGTAATCTGTAGAATATTAGGATAATATAAAAACTAATTTAAATATTATTATTAATTAATTACAGGAATTAATTATTATTAACATACTGGGTCTATACATTAGTCAATTAATTTTAATAGTAACTAACTCAGCAATAATGTCATATTAGCCCTTTTTTTTCCCTAAAGATGGCCTCATATGATTCTAGGTTTATTCTTTTTCCCGTTTAATATCCTTTAACGTCAACAAATCATTATATATATATAAAGGAAAATCATCTATTTTTATTGGATATTGAAATGGCAGTTCCTTTGAAGAGAGAGACTTCATAAGATTTGACTATTTTGTATTTTGAAAAAATTATAAGTTTTTGAAGAAAAATTTTATTTTTCATTAAAAATTATCTCTCTAATTATAGTTTTTATGAGAGAGTTCTAAATACAATGACTTTTGATTTTTTTTTTCTTAATAAATTTTTATGAGTTTGTTGAGCATTGCATCATTTCAAGTATTTTATGATGTATATTTTGAAATTTTACATGATGGTCTTTTAATAACATATATAAATTTGCTGAAAAAGTGCTAAGCATTAGGCAGTTTATTAGAGTCTCCATATCAGAAATCTAGGTATTTTAAATGAGTTTCTTAACATGTTTTTCAGCTATTTGATTATCGCCTACATGGTTGTTCTCAAATATTGATTAATCCTGTAGGTAGAAATGTTCATTATATATTTTGTACTTTATTGATCTGAATTCCTGTAGGTAGAAAATGTTCATTATATATTTGTACTTATTATGTCAATTTTTTTATTAAAAATACCTCCTCACCTTAAAAAAACTCCAAATGTTGTCTTCTTAAAATTAAAAACCCCTGTTCTCCTTCTAAATATGATATGTGGCACTTCTAAATGATGATATGTTCATAAATTGGCCTAAAAAAATATTTAATAAAACAAAAAATCAAAACAAATAATATAAATATGGACAAAAAATATATCAAATATGAATTGCAATAAATAGAATAATAGTTTTCATATATTTATGTATGCATTTTTTATACTTCAAGTTATTACTCCAATTGGATAAATATTCTCACTAATTTTTCCATCAGTATTTCGTGTTTAGAAAGTAATATATATACTTTTTCTATTTCAATTGGTCATATGTAAATACTATATTAACATTCTTTTTTCTTTCAAATTTATTACATGAATAACTTACTCATTAGTAAGGATAAAAATTTCTAATTGCACATGATAGATTTGACTCATATTGTCTATATATGATATGTATTTTAATGTTTAATAATTTATTTAACGCATATTTTATATCTCAAAAATAAATATTTTACATAGTTGGTGCAAAACGCGGAAAAACCGCCTAATTATATTTATAAATGAAGTACATAAGCATCTTAGGAAATTGATAACATAATTATCAATATATCCAACTAATTGGCCCCGTACAACTAATTTGATCGAACCATACACGTTAAAGAGAATTCGTAGAGTTGTATTAGATTATTATTATTATTAATGATTACCCAACAAATTGTACATAAAATATAGCACAGTGATACGAAAGTTGCTTATTTGACAGATGGAGATGGAAAGCTGTATGTTATTTGAAATGAAAGGAGCGACAGATATATTTTGGGCAGTGTCATATGTATGTATATCCTCCTGGCATTATCGTCATCAATGTCATATCTGCACCGTGATATATGTAAACAGTATTTGATATAGATTTGGTCAAGAAGCTCGAGGTTAGTTATTGCAGGCTTATCTGTTGATTCTATTCCAATCAGGAAATCAAATCTGCTATTGCTATGATCCACAAAAGGTCATACTTGACTTTGACATTGTCTTTCAACTCATCATCCAAAACAATCACATCTAACTTTTCTTTAAGCGAAATATGCATTTGCATAATGCATGGCATAGCAACGGACACTCATCCACATTCAAATTCATTTTAAACTTTAATATAACTTTCTGCATCAGTTGAAAAAAAAAAAAAAACTCAGATTTCTGCAGCTTAATTTCTAAGAAGTTTTAATCTCTTTTGGGCATTAACGTGTAAAGATTTCCAGCCGGAAATTGAATTTGCTCTAAATTTTCATCAATCTAATATGACTTATCACTCCAATCACAACTTAAATTTAACTCCAATTATTTTTATTCAAAATCATTTAAAATTTTATTCAAAATCATTTAAAGTTTTAATATAAATGCATGCACTTATTAAACATTATACCTTGTACCTATCTATAGCCTCTGGTTTTAATTGTTTTCGCTTCCCATATATATTATATATTATATATATATATATACTATATATATATAGTATTACATATATATTACATTACAATGTTTTAAGAATGCACAAAACAAGAGAAATTAATCAAAGATAGCACATGCAGGAATAAACAAACACTTCATTTGTAATACCACCATAGTAAACCAAATAATATTAGATCGACATACACTAATTTCCCTTCAAAAATGAAACAGAGGAAATTGAAACAAAAGGCATTGCCATCTTCCTCAGTACTTAACATATATATATGTATTTATATATATACTAATTAAAGGTCTCCATGCATGTGTTTTGGCTTGGTCATGGAGTTGTTGGCTTCTTGGGAGTACCGCCATTATGATGCAGAGGGTCTGGACCAGAAGGAACCGTCCTTAACTCTCGAACCACCAATTTTTTGCCATTTACAGTGGTTGTTGGTTCCTTGGAGCTGACAGGTAGCATCTGCATCCATGTACGAAAAGCAAATACTGAAACTGTAAAGCTAAGTCTACTAATTAACGAACAACAACAACAACAAAATAACAATGATAATAAGAGACGGAAAAAAGAAAGTTAGCTTGAAAGCAAGCAAACCTTTCTGCCTTGAATCTCATAATCAAGAGACCTTGCTTTTGGATAAAAGCACTTCTGGTCTCTACAACCTGCCAAAAATAACACGCAGGAGTTGATGCATTAATAAACAGGAAAATGGGCCTTTGTGCTAGCAAGAGAGACAGAGACGGAGAGGGAGGAAGTGATACCGGAAGCTTGTTCCATGACCACCATCAGCAAGAGCATGACAGAATAAAACTTGATTTTGGACGCCATTAATCAGAGCAATGGAATAGGTAATAGCGCTTGAAAAGAGAGGAAGCAGCAAGATGCGAGCAAATAAGAAATGCGAGACAGAAGTTATATAGCACCCAAAAAGAAAATTTCCAAATTGAAAAGTCATACAAATGATTGCTCAAGCAGCCATTTTTGGAGAAATTATTATTACAGATTCTCTTTACCTTAGATCCTCTAAATCCATGATGGGCCACTCACCTGACGGCGCCGTCTTGCATGAGCGACCGTCAGTTGCAACGTCACGTGCCAACTCGATCGGCATATCTTGATTAATACTGTAATTAATTAATTGATAATTTAAAACCAGTTACAGTTAAGTTGACAATGTTTTATTTTTAGCGCACCAATCTGATACGAATACGATTTAACTTTAGTTCACTGAATTAAAAAACTTATTATAGTGAATAATTAAAAAGAAAGAAAAAAAAAAAAAAAAAAAAAGAAAGAACAAAAAAAAAAAAAGCTAGCCCGCCACGATAGGATCGCTAGTTTAGTTGATACTTGCAGTTTCGTTAGTCCTTCTAATTATGGACGTCACCGTTGTCAAAGGCGATTCTTTGGCTCCACAGAAAAGATGTTTAAAAGCTAATATATATAATATATATATATAATATATAATATATATAATATATATAAAAATATATATTATATATATTATGACAGGGTCACCTTCCATCTCCTTAGATGAAAGATTAATTCTTCTAATCCTGTACAATTATGTCTATATATTATGAAGGGTCACCTTCCATCTCCTTAGATGAAAGATTAATTCTTTAATCCTTACAATTATGTCTTTTTCAAAATTTGTTGGTAACTTTTTTGTAATGAATTGCAGCCATAACCTCACATCACCATGTTTGTTTAATAGGAAAGTTGGGAATGGCTACCAGCTGATTTTGAACTAGAACAGAAGCATAATATAGATGAATCGTAGATTTAAAGTTTTGAACCGAGGAACCAGCGGTTCAAGGGTCTGTTAAGATTCATGTGAATTTTAAAATTTGAACCTGAATCGGCTCGAAACTAGCAATTAACCGTCAAGTTCCAGTCTAGTTCGAACCGAAAATTTTCTATTTTTATTTTCAAAATGATAATCATTTAGTTTATTCTATACACCTCTAAAAGTCTAAACAATATTTTATACTACATGATAAACTTTACTCAAGATTTTTTTTTTTAAATACATTTTACTTGAAAAAGTTAAAAATCTAAAAAAGTAAAGTGGTAAAAAAGTGAAATATTTAATCTAAAATTGTATTATTTTTAATTTTTTTTTCCTTTTAAATTGTTTATTTAGTTCAAAATTACATCGTTTGAAGCATTTTTCAAAATTTTCTAATTAATAACATTTAGACAAAATAAATGATAATTGATTTGATTATTTTGTAAAATTAATTAATTTTATTCTTATATGAGTATGAACATTTTAAAATTTATTTAAAATAAAGTTTACCAATATTTTTTAAACTCATATTAATTTTTTTGAAATAAAAATGTAATATTAGAATCGATTTTTTTTTTTGAAAAAAATAATACATATATCGCCGGAAACCGTAATTGGAACTGCACTGGAATCAGCTGGAACCGGAACTGGAGGTTCAAGGGCCTATTTCAGGTTCAATATTTTAAAAATTTTAAACCTCCGGCTCCGTAAACCAGAACCGGTGATTCAGTGAACCAGCTATACCTAAGGAAGCAAAAAAATAAAAAATAAAAAATACGAAGGAAAATAACAGAAAAAAAAAAAGAGAAAAGAGAGAGATAGTTGCGCTAATGCTTTGTTTGGGTGGATACTAAATAAGGATGAATGTAAAATAGACGATGAAAATGTCTTAAAATTTGTAAATTAAGTTATTTGGTTTAGATGAAAATATTGATGGGTAAAAGAAATTTATTTTACATTGTATAATTTTCCTCCCAGATGGAGTGAAAATAATAATATAATAGACGAAAAGTTACTATTCATGCATCGTAACTAAAATAAAATTATTTTACACTATTATTTTATGCGAATTGAAACAAAGAATGTAAAATAATAATATAAAATGAATAATATTATTTTGCCTTTATTTTACTTTTTCCCTCCTCCGAAACATAACACAAAAGCTACGAAGACAAAAGAAAAGAAGACAGATGGACTGAAAAAGACAAAAGTAAATGCAATAAAGTCACCATGCATTAGAATTTTGTCAAGCAAAAAGCCTCCAAGCGTGTAGTCACAAACTATCCGAGGCTCGGTTGAAGTTGGATTTCTAAATAACCAAGTTTGAATAGAATTTTAACTTGTTGAATAAATGAAAGCGAACTGTTTCTTTATCACGAATATACTAGTTTTATTAATAATTATCTTAAAAAGTTATTTTATTAATAAATATTGCTAATTATGATATAATTTTTAATCAACAGCTATTAACCTATAATAAGATAATAAGATGAAATTATATATTTATAGTTAGATAATATTTTAAAATAGAAAAACATGTTCTTGTATCAAAACTGCATATTTGTGAATTGGATTCAATTAACATTATATACATAATGAATATTGAGATATAACTTTTCACCATAAATTATAATTAATCATAAGGCCAAATGGTAAAAAAAGCCTATATTTTGACCCTTTTATCAATTTTAGTTAATTCTTTTAATTTTATCAATCAATACCGTGTATTTATTTTTCTGTATTAATTCTAGCATCCATCAGTCTTCCATTAAGTTTTTGCTTATGTGGCCATTATGTTATAGAAGTGGATCCCACGAAATGTCATGTTAGCACCAAAAGATATTGAAATGGCATCGTTTCAAGCTAAGGTGGCGTTTTTTTTTTTCTTTTTCTTAATTCCTAGTAACATCAATCGCAAAAGAGAGTCGATTTGATTCCACCATTAATCTCTAGATCACCGTAAGCCATAAGCCAAGAAGAAGATAAAGAAGAGTAGGTGCAACACCGATTTGGATGAGATGAAGCCCCCACACCTTCAATTCAGTACATCTTATCAAGCCCATTCCACCAACTCCTCTAATTTCTTCTCGAATTTACTTTCAAAACAGGATAGCATATTGGGATGAATGGTAATCCATGGGGTTGGTTTCTTTGGTTGGATTTCTCTTCGCGACTGTTATATTGAATGCAAAATTGGAGATTATGAAGGAAGATAATAGAATACAGAATTAGGGATTTTCAAGAATTGGGTTTGAGGTTTGAGGCTCAATTTTGTTGAGCTTGTTCAATTTAATATAATATTTGGATATGATTGTTCTTAATTATGGGACTACTTGCAAGCTTTGGTAATCATTTTGGATTATTGAATATTAGTTGCGGTAAGAATATTGAAAAATGTTGCTTACTTTATTGAAAAAGGTTAGTAGGATGGACTTCATACGAATTTATATTTATTTATCTTAGTTCTAATATTGTGCCTGCTTGAATTTTCTTTTGAACTTATTTCGTTCTATTATGTCTGTTTGAAACAAAATGTTTTTATGTTGTTTCCATTTTAGTTCACTGATTGACCTTTACAATGATAAAAAATCTCAATTTATTATGCAGCTTGAAATGATGTCCTTTAACGAAGAGGTGACAATTTGATTTCCTTAACAGAAATTTGAGTTGTCATTGACTTAGCAACAAGTGGAGTCCATTTATCATAAATAATGGTCCACGTCAACAAAATTTTAACGGAAGGGGTACGGATGCTAGAATTGGTAAAAAAAATAAATACGCAATATTAATTAAAAAAATTAAAAGAATTAGTTAAAATTGATAAAAAGGTTAAAGTTTAGACTTTTTTTAGTTATTCAGTCTAATTATAAGTAATATAACCATATATAATTAATAATAATCGTTAACTATAACTGGTATTCTAATCTAATAGATACTACTATAACTAAATGTAATGTCATTATATGATAACTAAATGTAATGTCATTTATATATATATATATATGTATATATATATAATATATATAGACTATATATATATATATATATATATATTAATATATATATAATTATAGATTTCTATATAGCATTTCTTTTTTTTATTAATTATGATAACTAGTATTATAATTGTACTTAATTACTGTTGTGATAGTTTTATAAGTATCATCAATATTTTAATATTATTGTCAGTCAGATATAGTCTCATTAGTTTTCTTACTTCTTGTATGTAGGGAGCGAGAGGTCTCGAGTTCGAGTCTTCTTCCCCATAAAGTTTATCATCAATTAGGTAAATATTATTCAAAGGGGAGGGCTGCCCCCTGCTCTATAGCCTACAATGTTATTCTGGTCCATTGAGTCTCTCATGTATTGAAAAAAATTATTTTATATTATTATAACTATACGTTTCTAATCTTATTCTAATAATAATTATTTTACTTATTAATATTATTCAAATAAATAAATTAAGCATAGCCTTTCTAATTATAACTATATCTAGTATTGTCACTAATATTATATTAAGTAATATAATAATTGTATATACGTAATAGTAATATTATAATAGGTAATAGATACAATACTTAATAAATATATGACATCCTACTAACTCGAATCGTTGCATAGAGTCGAGTCAAGTCGGGCCGAACTAAAACCCGGTTCGAACCATTAGAGTCCAGAGTGGGGTAGTATGAGATTTACTATAATAGATTTACTATAATATGATAAGAAGTGGACTTACTTGAATTAAAACAAAAAGATCAAAGTAGGAAGGATTAGGGACTTACTTGCACTAAAAGATCAAGCTTAAGGTATTAAGTTGACCTATTTGACAATTGAGGTACCATTTGGTAATTTTTTACACATAAACTCATTTGAAATTCTAGAGCCTTACCTGTGATTTACCATTTCATTTCCTTTTCTTCATTCCTTATCTTCATCTTCCTTCATCTCCTTTCCTCTTCCACTTCCTTCCTCCATCAATTTAATGGTTAAACATCCACTACTAGTGAAGATTTAATGTAGTTAAGCTATTTGATTTTCAAACCTCTATTCTATCAAGTAAATAAATCTTTCTTGGAATTTCA